TTTGTTGAGATGATAATAATTAACAAACAATTCTTTTTGATAAAATATTAAAGAGAAATTGTTAAAAGTGCCTATTTTTCAATACCCTTTTTAAAAAATGGCCTCTTTGAGAGTCTATTTTTAAGTTTGCCCTCTTTTAGTTTTGAATGATCATTTTACCCTTATTTAAAATAAAATTAGGTCCACAAAATACAAAATATTTTTTGGCTGGAAAAGTGATCCTGCAATTTTCCCGCCAAAACACTTGTAAAAACCTTTAAAATACCTTGTAAAATTTTTCCGTAAAAATTTTTCCCGCCAAAAATTTTTTTTTGCGGGAAAAGTGATTCCGCAATTTTTTTGGCGGAAAAATTTACAAGGTATTTTAAAGGTTTTTACAGAGTATTTACAAGTGTTTTGTAAGGTTTTACAATGTATTTTAAAAGGTTTTACAAGATACTGATAAGGTATTTATAACTTGTCAAACCTTTTAAAAAACTTGTAAAACCTTATAACTTGTAAAACTTTATAAAATAGCTTGTAAAATCTTATAAAATCTTATAAATACCTTATAAATACGTTGTAAAACCTTTTAAAATACATTGTAAAACCTTATAAATACCCTGTATAAAACCTTGTAAATTTTTCTCGCCAAAAATTTAATGCCAAAAAAATTGCGGAATCACTTTTCCCGCAAAAATTTTTTTTGGCGGGAAAAATTTTGGCGGGAAAATTTTACAAGGTATTTTAAAGGTTTACAAGTTTTTACAAAATCAAATTTGTAATTTTGATGTGTGCACATTCTCATGTTTTCCTTATATATTTGTGATATTTTTTATTAAAAGAAGAGTAATTTAGTTATTTTGTACATAAAAAAAAGTATTTTAAAAAATAGACAGTCAAATAGGACATTTTTGAAAAGGATATTGAAAAAGAGGTATTTTTGTGAGTCTCCCAATATTAAATATGTATATCACCATTTAGATGTAGCCCAAGAGTGATACTTAGTTCCTTCCATTCAATTATATATTGGTATAACTATAAAGTATAAGAACGTATGTAAAAAAATAAAAATAATTAGAACGTATAGAGATGTCTAGCGGGTTTGGTCAAATAATTTGTAATATTCAACCGAGACAACAAAGACATTTTTTTTATCGATTTTTTTTCTTTGGTCCTGGGATTTAGATTTTGTAACCTTAACTGATGTTGTAACAGTCCTAGATCATATATTCAAAAGGAAAACTTATTGATTTTCCAGTACATCTCCCATCAGATTACATTATATTACACAAGAAGAATGGGAGTTTTGTGTCCTAATACCAGTCTGACCAGAATCATAACATCAAACTAGTACTTTCAGACCTTGCAGGTTGCACCTACAGGTTTCGCGAAGAGGCAGCAATGTAGCCAGTCGGGCGTTCTGAGACTGCTTCACAAGTGCCTGTCTCAAAGAAGGCCGAGTGGAGAGCCTTCACACAATGCTCCGCCTCATCATCATTCACTATCAGTGAGATGTTTACCTGATATCATCAAATAGTCAGACGAGTGTCTATTCAAGGGGTAAACCTTGTTGTACAAAATCATATATATATATATAGCCAAGGAAGTTGAAAGAGGTTTGACCTTAGATGCACCTTGGGAGATCATCTGGACATTAATCCCATTGGTTCGAAGAACTCGGAAGCCCTGTTTGTTGGTCATTGGTAAGTCACTAAGTAGTATGACTATCTATATATTGAATCATACAAACCAAAGCAGAGAGTTAAACTAATTAACCTTCTCTAATATGAATGATGATCTCTGAACATTTCCGATGAGAGAGATAATTGATCTGTGTCGAAGCAGATTTACAATAGCAATCTTCTCAAGTTCCTCAACCACTTGATCAAGCTCCTATCACATGGCCAAGAATTATAGAAAACAAGATGAGTCTTGATTTGATTTTCTGTGCTCCAAGAACAAGTGGTAGCCTGAAAGTTCTCTCAAAGAAAACAACACAGATATAAAGTCACAAGCTTACATGCTGAATTAATTCTCTGCTACAGAACTTTGAAGGATCCAGTGTCAAGGAAATGCTAACTTCGCTGGTTGCAACAACATCCACAGATATGCCCAACTTTTCAAATGTGGAAAACACCTGGAGAGAGAGAGTGTGTGAGCTCGGAGGGCGGGAAAGTGAATATGTTGTCATCAATTCGAGTTAAGTTGGTTACCTTGGCAAGGAAACCATATTGGCCGAGCATACGGGTGCTGGTGATGTCTAACATGGTAACATTACGTTTCAGAACGATGCTGGTCAATACAGCCTAGTAGAAGATAACGAGGAAGAAGAGGGCATGGTGATGTTGTGATATTAAAAAAGGGTAATTAATACTGATGCAATTTGACTTCACCTACCTTGCTCATGTCTCTTGATCTGGTGATGACAGTTCCTGGAGCAGTGGGATTGTAAGAGTTCTTAACCCTTACAGGAATGTTACCTTCTTGTGCTGGGCGCATGGAAAGTGGATGCAACACCTGCAATGGAAGAGGTAAATCCTTTGGTCTTTTGGTACAACAAGTGTTTTTTTATGAGGTTGTTTACCTGGGCACCAATGTAAGCAAGTTCAGCAGCCTCATCAAATGTCAAGTGTGGAACAGGTTGAGCTCCGCAGTAAATGTTTGGATCACAAGTCAAAACTCCATCCACATCTTTCCAAACCTGCACCACATTACAGTAGAGTATACTGTATGTTTAAATAAATCCCCCGTATCTTCATTGATAGAAAATAACCCCCGATATTGGTACCTGGATCTCCCGCAAACCTAAAGCCTTCCCGATCGTTGTTGCAGTCAAATCGCTACCTCCTCTACCAAGCGTAGTTACAGCACAAGATCTCCATCCCTGCACAAAGTGAAGCTTTTTGTTTTCGAAATTCTAAAATTGTCACAGCAGGGCATGCAAGAGACTCATGCATAATCGTTATTTATATACCTTTCCAAGGAAGCCTGTGACAATGGGGACTGCATTTTCCTTGCTCCAGTCACCAAGTAACTTTTTTGAGACCGCCGGGTATGTTGCCTCAAGAATATCAGCATTAGTGAAGTCATCTGTGGTGATTATCCCAATCTCAAATGCATCATACTGCCAAAGCAAAAACTCATCATCAAGTCATGAAACAATCAATAAGGTGATCAAGGTAACATATATATACCTGTCGTGCTTTGTGCCCAATTTTGTTCAAGTAGGCAGCAAATAGCCTTGTGGACATGCATTCTCCAAATGAAACCAAGTAATCTCTTGAGCGTAAAGTTAATTCTTTCATCATTGCGATGCCTTTCAGAAGCTGTTCCAGTCCTTCTAAGTGTTCTGCAATAACTGCTGTTTCCACTCCAAGCTCATGAGCAGTCCTGGACATAGTAAAATTTGATTTTCAACCATGAGAATAAAGTAAATTTGTGTTGATATATATACATATGATAGATACAATAAATGTCTCTGTTTATTTTTTTCAACTAACCTTATATGGAGTTCCTTTATATAGCTCCACTCTTCAATAGTGTCGACGTTGGTGACACCGCAGCAAACAGCCTTCTCTCCAGCCTAATGAAAACCACAGCCTCAGAGTTTTATAACAGAAGAAAGAAACAAGGTAAAAGGTGCAAATTAAAGGAGTTCACTTTTTTCTTACCATCAAAAGCTTATTGGTGGTCTTTGCCATTGCTGATAGCACAACAACAGGCTTCTCGTCTGGGTAGCTGAGTATGAGTTTGGCAACTTGTTTCATCCTTTCTGCTGATGCCACTGATGACCCACCAAATTTCATTACACATGTCAATTTTTTCTCAGTTCTGTTTAACTTGAAAGTCTCTGAGCCTTTTCTTTCTAGCAGCTCCACTCTTCCGGCTTCACAAGTAACTCTCAGAACGATGTTCTTACAAGCATGATCTACGTTTCTAGAGAATACACGAGCAGAGGACACGAGTGCTGAGAAATTCAGCCCCTTTGAGCCAAACTCAATCGCTTTTGAGTTTAAGGCAAGTTCTGGTGTTTGAACTCCGTAGAACTGCATTGAAGCCGCCATTACTCAATAAGCTCTGAAGAAGACGATTGTGAAGCTTGCTAGAACTCAGAGACTGGCTGTTGTGATTTCGGCAAATAATATATAGAGTATGCTTGTTTAGTGCGCAAACCTGCAATGATCCGTAGAGTCCACGGAAACAAAAAAAAAAAAAACAGAGTCAAGGCCAAATGTATGAATAGAAAAATAAATGGATCTTGCAGAGAGGAGATTGAGAAGTGGCTTAATTATATACCAGTTGACAGGGGATCCCGATTGCTTGAGACAAAGCCGGCCAAGCTCCAAAGCTCTGTAGCAAGAGGAGTATCGTAAGAGGCAAGGCGCCAAAATGGACAGTCAAGATCCCAAGCTAAAAGGATCAGACGGCTCCGGAGTGAATTCAGTCTCGGATGTTAATTGTTTTTAGCCAAAGGAAAGATTCGAACGATCATTCGACTTCACTGTTATTTTCCAAACTATGAATCTGCTGAATAATAATTCGAACGCTTGGTTTAGCACATACTATATACTAGTCGTTTTAACCAAAGTTTTTTTTTTTTGGAAAACGTGTCAACTACAAATTAAAGTAGTGAACCCTTAGGAGGTTGAGGGGGTGTTAGCAAATGGTAAATCGAAAAAACGTGGCCACCTACTCATAGATACTAAGTATAATTTGTTTGATTTAGCAATAATATGCAACCTGCATAATACGTGGCATCAGGTGTATGGTCAACAATTTTCACATTTAGTGGATGCTTATGCAATTAACTTCACAAGAGGAATGAATAAGCACGAAATGTTGAAGCAGCAGCTGTCTTAATGCTTCTGCCCATATTGGCCATTAACCAATGACCATTGTATAAGCATTTCATTGTTGTGAGATCCGACCACATTTAAGTCTTCTTCTTAAAAAAAAAAAAAGTCTTCTTCTTAATCTTGCCACATAAATGGGTCATAGAAAAAGCCCATGGGCCTTAATGGAGAATATCCCTTGTTTCCCAATTCCGAGGGTTTTCACTTTTCACTGTGAGTCCTCCCTCTCCTAGTTTCGGGACCGGCTATGGAGTCTCCTAAGCATTCCTTGATTCCCAGCTTCCTCTACTCCTCCTCCGTCAGGTCTCTTCTTCTCGACCAGATGCTCAATAACTCCAACCCCAAATCTCCTTCGCCGCCGACGATGCTCTCTCAGAAGAATTTCCTTATCGCGTCTCCCACCGAGCCCGGAAAGGGTATCGAGATGTACTCCCCGGCCTTCTACGCCGCCTGTACCTTCGGTGGGATCCTCAGCTGTGGTCTCACTCACATGACCGTTACTCCTCTCGATCTTGTCAAGTGCAATATGCAGGTACTATTTATTCCTCCTCACATTCATTCCCAACTACTTACTTGTTGTTCCTTGATCTGATTTTTCCATCTAGAGCCAATAACTCTGTTGGTTTTTCATCTTGTCTTGTAACTGCATCTTACTCGACATGTATTAATCATAGGCGTTAGTTTTGTCACTCATGCACATTCTATCGATCACCTTGCTCAAACCCAAAGTCATAACATTCACATTTTCAGATTGATCCTGCAAAGTACAAGAGCATTTCGTCCACTCGTCTTACTTTCTCACTCGTCTTAAGACTAGCCATTGTGCCTGATTTCTTCTTCTTTCAGTTTGTACAAGGGAATTGGTCCACTCTGGGGACGCCAGATTCCTTGTAAGTTGTGGCCTCAGCTTTGCAACTTTCGCATAGTATGAATTGGCCTCATAAAATGCTTTAGTGGCTCTTTTAGTTGCAAAATGTGATAAGAAAATCTACCTTTGTAACAGACACAATGATGAAGTTTGCTTCTTTTGAGACCATTGTGGAGATGATCTACAAGTATGCAATTCCGAGGCCAAAGGACCAGTGCAGCAAGGGTCTACAACTAGGGGTGAGTTTCGCAGGAGGTTACGTTGCTGGCGTGTTCTGTGCTATAGTCTCTCATCCTGCTGATAATTTAGTGTCCTTCCTCAACAACGCCAGAGGAGCAACTGTTGGAGATGTAAGTCCCTCTGTTTTTTTCTGTAATAAAATGCAACTTTTGATATTACCACCTAGTGTTTAGTGTTCTAACCATGATCCTGTCAACAGGCGGTGAAGAAGATAGGGCTGTTGGGTCTATTCACAAGAGGGCTCCCTCTACGAATTGTGATGATAGGAACATTGACGGGAGCACAGTGGGGTATCTACGATGCTTTCAAAGTCTTTGTTGGCCTGTAAGTCCCTTCTTTTGCAGCTATTCTGTTTCAGAGGTTCTCCTTCTCAACCGCTAATGGAAACTCTCTTTTCTTTCAGTCCAACCACTGGTGGTGTTGCTCCAGCGGCTGCCATCAGTCCTTCTGAAGCAAAGGCTTAAACAATGACGAAGAACAAAGGGTCTCTTACGTTAGCAATTTTTCTTAGAAAAAAAAAGAAAAAAGATAACCAGGACAATGATGAAAAGATTTTGAGTCACTCAGCCTGATTCCAACTTGATCACTGCACATTTCTTGAAAGTTGATTAGTTTCATCTTTTACTTTTTCTTCCATGTTCCATCTTCAGCTCGAAAGGCTTGCTTTTGACCATTTCTCTACACGATGAAACTGGCCGAGCTTATATATCTTCAAATCAGTCAAGCAGGCCGGAATATAGATTCATTTGAAAGATGAATTGGGGGTTATAGAGTTAAGTCACATTAGCCAGTACATGGTGTCCCTAGTATACAAAATACAATTGTAAAATGGGTGTGAGTATGGCATTGGCAGAGAGAATTACATGTCAATAAATCTACATAAGAATCTTGACAATGAGGAAACGATACATGAGTAATGAAGAAAGCTTATGAATGTAAATAAAACCTGTAGAGCAATCTTGGTGGGGATGCGGAAAGTAACAAGAGCAGGTGCACCGTAGACAATTCCCGTCACTGCAGGCAAAGTAAGATCAGTGAAGTAAATGGAAATGCACGCATCAAGTCTTTCCCATGATCTTGAAGTGTTTCCACTAACAACTTGAAATGTGTCTTTCATCCAGCTACTGTCTGTTAGAGTCAAATCATAGGCCGTCCTGAGATTCAACAGCAAAATCAGATCAAATAACTCGAGAGCAATTCTGGCTTTTACAAAGAAAACCCAGAAACGAAAAATTGTTACCCTATATAAAAAGATCAAATTACAGAATCGGGTTCCTTCAATGCATATCGATTAGAATCGGAATTATACAAAATGTAAAGGAGAAAGAGAAAAAAACTGACGAGTCAAAACGTGTTCGGCGCCAGATTTCTTGTGGACAAATGGAGTCACTCATGGGCCAAACTGAAAGCCCGTCAAAATAATTTATTCTTGGGCCTCTTGTCTCTTGGTATGTATGTGGTTTAGCTATATACGATAACAACTGCTTGCTGTGTGAGAACTGAGAAGGGGGCTTCAAACGTCACACATTTGCCTCGTTGAAAATGAAAACAGCAAGACCACTGGAGAGACAGAGACCGTTAAGTCATGAGATCTTCGTTTCGGCTGGAAAAGGGAAAAGAAAAGAAAGCAAAATGTTCGTTTAAATTCTCCTCCATGGACGCACCACCTCAGCAACTACTAGCTTCTTCTTTCCCATGGCGGCCACCGGATTTCACATGCTCTCTGCCGTCGGATTATGCAACGGAGAGAAGCACAAGCAACTTCTTGGTGTAACCCTACCACCGGCACGCCGATTCTCCGCTTCTGTCACCGCTTTTAGCTCGAGGCTTGTGGACTACGAGCAGCCATTCGTTAAGGGCTTCTGGGAATACCTCGAGGCGGCTAAGGATTTCATCAGACCGGAAGACAACAGCCCGTCTCGCTGGTTCTCTCCCCTCGAAAAAAGCAAGGATCCATGTGACGGCGCCCCGCTGCTTCTGTTCCTACCTGGTTAGTCCCGATTAATTGAGTTAGCTCGGAATCAACGGAAATGTGCAATTGCTTGCTCAAATTCAGATATATGACCTGGCGTAGCGTAGGTATCGACGGAAATGGACTCGGGCTAATAAGGCAGCACCAGAAACTTGGACAGTGAGTGCCCCACGTTTCTGTTTTTCTTTCTAATACCGGTGGTTGATTCTGCTGATCTATTTGTTTGCTTTTTCTAGGATGTTTGATATCTGGTGCTTGCACATACCAGCGAGCAATCGCACTTCATTCACAGGTATTTCCTCCTCTATTGCCCTGTTTTAGATTATTGTTTTAAATTGTGTTGGCCTGATTCTTTATCTATAACATTGGATGCTTTAGATCTAGTCGCCATGGTTGAAAGAACTGTCAAATCTGAAAATCAACGATCACCCAGGAAACCCATATATCTTGTTGGAGAATCTCTCGGCGCCTGCATAGCACTCGCTGTTGCAGCCTGTAACCCTGAAATTGATCTGCTCTTGATTCTTTCAAACCCAGGTGACGTTCATCCTGTCTTGTTTTGTAGGACTTTATCATTTGTAGGTGTTAAACTTTGATCAATCAATCTCAGCCTAGTGGCTGCTTAGTTCATCATATCTTTATCACAATTTCATGTCCTTATACATTGAATAGAAGTCTCACCACGTCGTCTAGATTGATCTAAAGAGTATTCTTGCATTTGCAGCTACATCATATGGGAATTCTTTGCTGCAACATCTTGCTCCCCTGGTTAAAGCCTTGCCAGACCAATTTGATCTTGCATTTCCTTCCGTGTTAAGCTTGATTCCAGGTTAGATTTGATTTATCTATTCACAGATTTTGGAACTCCCGTTAGTTTAAAACAACGCCACACAATGGTAAAAGCATCTTTGGAAACTCCGATCAAGTTCAAGTGTATACTTTTATGCATTAACCTGTGAGTCTTGGTGATATAAGACATGGTTTTTAATTTCATAGCTGCATAAAAGCTCTATTGGAATTTTAAGGTGGCCCTTTAAAAAGGATGGTTGCTCACTGGGTCAGGGGACTTCCGGAGATGGAAACAGCTGCCAACATATATCAAGATTTGGTGATAACATCGACATTAACTTCTGTAGGTGACAAACTCATTTATGGGGTAGGTCGTTATTTTTCCAGTGCTGTCAAATATGGTTAAGAATCTGACTATGCAGATCCTAGCTGATACATTTCGGAGAGAAACACTTCTGTGGAAGCTCAAGTTGCTTGATGCCGCTGCTATTTTTGCCAATGCACATCTACATCTAGTACAAGCGCAGACTCTAATTCTGTCCAGGTTAGTGGTATCTTCTATCACAGCACTGGTTTGAAAATTCCAAGGGAGTATAGCAAGTAGGTTAAGCTAACTTGTTTATCAATTACAGTGGAAATGACCAAATACTACCTAGTAAATTTGAAGGCAAACGACTTCGGAAAAAACTGCCTAAATGTGAAGTCCGCTCATTCAAAGACAACGGGCATTGCCTTTTTCTGGTATATCTATCTTGGTTCTCTCCACTCTGCGTCTTTTATTTGAATACAACTGCCAAACACGAAATTTCATCTCATTCAAAGATGTATTCTGAGATGCTTCATACTACATCTCTTTTTGCTTTCGGGTATGACAGGAGGACGGTATTGATCTGGTCAGTATCATAAAAGCCACTTCTTTTTACCGGCGTGGGTCTCACCAGGATTACGTCTCCGACTACATCCCACCAACCATCTCTGAATTTAACAAAAGTTATGGGGTCAACAGGTTACTACACATACAAATTATGTTCTAAAAGGGCTTGTATCATTACTAAAGTAGAAAAGAAACAGTTTGATTGATCTTGATATATTTTTTTTGTGACGAAATAGGCTTCTTGAGGTGATCATGGGACCTGTATTTCTGTCGACTACAGAAGATGGGAAAGTGGTGCGGGGTCTTGGGGGAATACCATCGGAAGGACCTGTACTGTTGGTGGGCAATCACATGCTACTGGCGAGTGACAAGATATCACTCCCAGGTCAATTTGTTCACGAGAGGAACATCAATTTGCGGCCTCTTGTGCATCCCATGATGTTTACGAGACTGAGAGATGGATTGTTACCTGATGTGTCTGTTTACGACATGCTCAGGATGATGGGGTCGGTCCCCATCTCGGGCACGCACCTCCATAATCTCTTGTCTGCTAAATCCCATATTCTGTTGTTCCCAGGAGGCATCCGCGAAGCTCTACACCGTAAGGTGAGTAGTTATATACTCGTTGGTTTTCCGGAGTGGGGTATCATATATGGCAGCAGATACATTGGACATGTGAATATTGGTTGTTATATATATATCAGGATGCAACCCTTGTGTTGTATTGCTGCTATCATTGTTACCTGTGGTAGTGAGTACAAGTTATCACGATTTACTCATTAACAGGGAGAAGAATACAAGTTGATGTGGCCAGAGAAAGCAGAGTTTGTGAGAGCAGCAGCCAAATTTGGAGCCAAAATAGTGCCCTTTTGTGGGGTTGGCGAAGATGATTTTTTAAGAGTGAGCACACTTTGCATCCATGTCGTGTGCAATACATAGTCCGTGTAACTGTGTCTAACGAATGCAGGTGGTTGTAGACTACAATGACCAGATAAAGGTTCCGTTGGTGAAAGAGGTGCTAAAAAGAGTGACAGCGGAAGGCCCGGAGGTTAGGTAATGTGAATGGAATTTAGTAGAGAATATTAATTGTAGAACTGGATGATGGTGGGTGACAATTTTGACATGGTTGGTGTTCTAAAGGGGAAGCCTGGAAGGAGAAGAGGGGAACCAAGACTTCCACATGCCAGGAGTGATACCAAAGTGGCCAGGGAGATACTATTATTACTTTGGGAAGGAGATAAAGACGGGAGCAGAAGAGTTGAGAGACAGAGACAAGGCAAAGGAGGTGTACGCAGAGGTGAAGAAAGAGGTCGAGAGATGCATAAAGTTTGTGAAGCAGAGAAGGGAGAAGGATCCCTACAGACCCCTCTTGCCCCGTCTCCACTATCACCTGCAGCATGGCCTCCTCTCGCAAGTCCCCACTTTCCCTTTTTGAATACCTTTACACAATTTTCATAGCCCGTATGCAAACAGTGATATCCCATAACATTTGGGCTTTTCATCTCATGAATCACCCACGTTGTCAAATTTCCCCTAAACAAACACTATCACAATTTTGGGAAACTAGAGATCCTAACTAAACGAGATAAGAGTTGGTTTTAGTGTTGTATCAACTCAGGAATGAGCTTGAGAAGAAAAGAGAGCTCTCTCTCTGAGAAGTTAGGCTTTGGCTTAGTATCATCAGCATCTCTGTTGGATGGCTTCATCATCTCTCTCACGGCCTCTGTTATCTCCTCCACATGATCAACTATGACTCCCTCTATTCCCATCAAATGCTGCATGTAAACCGCCTCCGCGACATTGTTGAGCTTTCCGTAGGTCATCAGAGAGAGCTTGGATTCTTTTATCTTGTTGACAGCAGCGGGGTTGCGGAATACTCCCTTCACCTCCGAGACAATCCCTTGAAGGCCTCCTTCTAAACATAGTTTGATTGCTTCCTCAAGCGAATTCCTTCTGGTGTCGTAGTACATCTCAGTTCCTCCGTTTGTCAAGAAGAATACCTGTAATTGAATTTGGATCATAATTTGGATTAAAGTGGAAAGAGCGTAGCTTCTGGGGTTCCATCAACTTACGGGGTAGGTGGTCTGCAACTTCCTGACAAGAAGGGCGGCATCAGGATGGAAGCTGGAGAAGATGATGGGTCTGTCCTTTCCGATATCAGACACCACCTGCAAGATTGGGAGGAGAAGACGGGAGAGGTGATCGGAGGAATAGAAGAGGTTGTCGTCAAGCTTGAGCTCAATGTTGAAACCGAGGTTTGGCTTCTCTACTTTCTCAAAAGCCTCTTGGAGAGTACAGAGAGGGTCGTCGCTTTCCACGCTCCACTTGAGGATCTGCCCTTCCTTTGACTTTCTCAGCAAAGGCTTTCCTGTCTTGCCTGTATCCCTCTGTGGCCCGTAGGACAAGAACTCCGACAAGCAAAGATCCGTGACCCTCTTCTCGTACACCACTCCCTGTTCCTCGGAGTAGATGAAGTCGTCGTGGAAAATGACTGGGAAGCCATCTCTGGTGACCTGCGCGATCAAAGATCAGATCAGATCTTTTCTTATTATATTTCATTAAAAGAAGTTTTTTTTTTTTTTATTATTTGGAAAAATACGAAAAATACGAAAAATTTATGTCAACTAATTAAACCCCCACGTGGTATTGCCGGCGGTCACGTGGCGGAATCCAAATTTAAAAAAAAAAAAACAGAAGCCGATCGAAATTCGAATGCGGCGAACCGAGACCGACGAGAGGATTGAAAGAAATAAGTTTACCTGAACATCGAATTCGATAAAGTCGAGAGAGGATTTTGAAGCGGCGTTGAAGGAGAGGATGGAGTTTTCCTTGAGAGCAGAAAACCTTAGATCCGGCGACTGCGACATGTTCATGCCGTGCCCTCTATGTCCAATCACCACAAACTTGTTATTCGCTTTGCGAGAGGAGCAGAGGAGCGACGGGTTCTCAGGGAAGTGGTCGAGGCTTGGCACTTCCGAGACATGAATGGCTTTAAGAGACATATTTCTAATGTAAGAAGAAAAAAAAAAAGGGCTCTTCTTCTTGGGCAGGATGTGGTCAGAGATGGGATTTGGGGGCTTTGCTTAAAAAGAAGAAGAAGAAGAAGAAGATGGGATCTTGGAATATTCTTTGGATCGCCACGTCATCATTCCTAATAACAGTCAAAATCAAAATTATCCCTTTTGGATATTCCTCCTCTCTTTCCTGGTTGGCTCCCTCCCTCTTGGGCTCCTGGTGGGCCTTTTCTCTCTCTAAATGGAAATCGAATAAATTTAGCCATCAATGTTGATTGATTCACACCTCATCTCTAATCTTTGCTATTAATTTTTTGGATTACATATGCTTCCATTTCCCGAATATTCCAAAGCATATTATCTTCCTAAGCATATTATCTTCTCGTATTCGAAAGGCACATCCTCTCTAAAGCTACCTTGCCGCACAGATAATCTTCCCATTACCTCTCTCGATAAACTATACAGCTCCTCCTTATCTCATCAAACACTCTCTAAATATTTTCTTTCTAGATCTTGGATCTCTATGTTAATTATATATTCGACACAGGTTTTTTTTTCCTATCTTATTCTTGCAGTAAATTAAAGACAGAAATGTCATGGCCTAAAACCCTAAACCACTTACTTTTCATAATGATAAAAATACTACTAACTTAAAATTATTAATGACCCTGAGATGTGCTTATTAAATAAACCACAATCTCCGAGATTGGACTTTAAACTCGCTCTGACAACAAAAGTATCACAATTTTGAAAAAGGTTGTATTTTATTTGTGTATATCATAGTAGATTCATAGAAGAGGCGATACATACAGCTACTTATACATACTAAAAGACAAGGAAGCTCCCCATGAGCGGTTGAACAAGTTTTCAAGAGTCACTCCAAACATGGAGCCAGAGGAAAATAGCAAAAGATAAGATATAATAACTGTTTATTAGTAACAAGATGTATGATGGGCTTTTAGGAGAGCCCATGATTCGAACTGTTAAAAGATCAATTTCCTATTATGGGCCTGACGACGAGTCAACAACATAGGTGGGGGCCAACCCGAGGACGGAAAAACGTGACTGTTGAGTATTGTATTATTATTAGACTGTCAGTTTCACTTCTCGAGGAAACTTGCTAATCGGAGCTGAGAGAGAGAAAGGAGTGAGTGGATGAGAGAAAAAGATACAAAGGTTCCCGCGTTGAGAGTATCAATTAATTAATTAAGGTGGATATTTTGATGGGAGACAAAGACAAATAGAGAATCATTAGAGAGATAAGATGGGTTTCGTTTGAAGAGCTCCAACCTGATTCGCTCAATTGATCTTTGTATCGACAACCTGAGATGGCGGTGGCGGAATCTGGAGTCTCTCCCCGTCGAAATCCTTCACAAGTTAGCTCCTTTATGCCCACTTGAACTGTTCTTTCTTCTTGTCTTTTAATCTAAATAAATAAAGAACCTAGCTTTCTTATGCTTGTCACTGCTTACGGTATGTAGAACCAGCCCAGCTGGGATTCTTCTACTGCTCTGTTTTCAGACTTACTGAATTGTTGATATCCGTTCCTTTCAGCTGTCGTGGATGAGTAACTTGATTTTGGCCTACCAGAGCTTTGGTGTAGTCTACGGTGACCTCAGTACATCTCCTCTTTATGTTTTCCCTTGCACATTTATTGGAAAGTTGCACAAGCATCACAACGAGGAAGCCGTTTTTGGTGCATTCTCTTTGATTTTCTGGACCCTCACGCTCTTTCCCCTTCTCAAATACCTTCTTGTATTACTGAGTGCCGATGACAACGGAGAAGGTGCACTATGAAACGAGAACCTCCTGTGTTCAACTTATATCTTTCGTCTTCTTCCAATTTCTAGGAGCCTCGGGATGATACAGTCTTTTCCTTTTTCTGCGTCTCTAGGCGGAACATTTGCTCTCTATTCGCTGCTTTGTAGGCATGCCAAGCTTAGCTTACTTCCTAACCAGCAAGCTGCTGATGAGGAGCTCTCAGCTTACAAGTTTGGTCCTTCCACGGATACTAGAACTTCATCCCCCTTCAGAAGATTTCTTGAAAAGCACAAATGGCTGAGGACCGCTTTGCTGCTTCTTGTACTTTTTGGAGCTGCTATGGTCATAGGAGACGGGGTTCTGACCCCAGCTATATCAGGTAAAGTATGCTTGCCTGCCTCCTACATATTATATTCAAAGTTGGAGTTTGTGTCATTGTCTGTTACTTGTAGTTGAAACGACCCACCTTCTTCATGAGCATTCTTGTTTTTCCATTCATCCGTATGTTTCTTTTTGGGGTCAATATCTGACTGTCTCACTCCTGCTTCCTTTCAGTTCTGTCGTCCATGTCAGGCTTGCAAGCTACAGATAAGAAATTAACTGATGGTATCTAATGCGTGTTACCCCCACCACGTGCTTGTATCAACTTTTGCTTCTTGTTTGATTACATCTTGTGGACTTTCTTTTGTTTTGGTGGGATATCTGAAGGTCTTCTCTTAATCTACTGCAGGTGAACTTCTGGTACTTGCCTGTGTCATATTGGTCGGACTGTTTGCTTTGCAACACTGTGGTACTCACAGGGTGGCTTTCATGTTTGCACCAATTGTGATCATCTGGCTTATTTCTATACTCTTCATTGGTTTATACAACATCTTACACTGGAATCCAAAGATAATACATGCAGTTTCCCCGCTTTATATCATCAAATTCTTCAGAGTGACTGGTCAAGCTGGATGGATTTCTCTTGGAGGGATTCTTCTTTCTGTAACAGGTAATTCTGGTTCTGGATCAAGACATAACCATTATATTATTTATTTTCTGTTTGTTCTGAATCCTGTAGTGAATGGTCTTATGAGCTGGTTCGCTAAAGTGATTATCGCTGTCTCATCAGGTACTGAAGCTATCTTTGCAAATCTTGGCCATTTCACCTCGGTCTCAATCAGAGTAAGCAGAGGTTACCTGTCTAGTGGTGTATCAGTACATCAGTTATTTTATCTGTGACTTCTCTACAGCCTTGGTAGTTATCCTTCAACATAAGTCCATGGTGGTTGCGCAGCTTTGTTTCTTAAATCTACTTCTTTTTGTTTTGTGCAGCTTGCTTTCGCCGTTGTCGTGTACCCATGTCTGGTGGTACAATACATGGGCCAGGCAGCTTTCTTGTCAAAGAACCTCGGGTCTATTCCTAACAGTTTTTACGATTCAGTCCCAGGTTCGTTTACTTTGACACCAGCGTTTAATATTCTCTTGTTTCCTTGTGATAATGACAATCTTATATGATCGTGGTCCTTTATGCAGACCCTGTTTTCTGGCCTGTCTTTGTCATTGCCACACTTGCAGCCATTGTTGGCAGTCAGGCTGTGATAACTGCTACGTTCTCAATAGTCAAGCAATGCCATGCCCTTGGGTGCTTCCCACGCATCAAAGTAGTCCATACTTCGAAACATATATATGGACAGATCTATATCCCGGAGATCAACTGGATCCTGATGATCCTTACTCTTGCAATAACTATAGGCTTTCAAGACACAACTTTGATTGGAAATGCCTACGGTAAACTTTATATCATTGAAAACTATTTTTCCCTCTCCAGGATCTGATTGTTTGATGGTGGTTCTCTAATTACTCACAGGAATCGCATGCATGATAGTAATGTTCATCACAACGTTTTTCATGGCTCTTGTCATAGTCGTGGTTTGGCAGAAGAGTTGTTTTCTGGCGGCTTTGTTTCTTGGGACTCTATGGATAATTGAAGGTGTGTACCTCTCAGCAGCGCTCATGAAAGTTCCCCAGGGTGGTTGGGTGCCTTTTGTGCTCACGTTCATATTTATGATCGCCATGTATGTGTGGCACTATGGCACCCGGAGGAAATACAGCTTTGATCTTCATAACAAAGTTTCATTGAAGTGGTTGCTGGGATTAGGACCTAGTCTTGGTATTGTCCGCGTGCCTGGAATAGGACTCGTATACTCAGAACTTGCAACTGGAGTTCCTGCAATTTTCTCTCACTTTGTCACCAACCTCCCGGCATTCCATAAAGTCGTGGTGTTTGTTTGTGTGAAATCAGTTCCAGTGCCTCATGTTTCCCCTGAGGAACGCTTCCTCATTGGTCGTGTTTGCCCGAAGCCTTATCGTATGTACAGATGCATAGTGAGGTACGGGTACAAGGACATTCAACGGGAAGACGGGGACTTTGAGAATCAGCTTGTACAGAGCATAGCGGAGTTCATCCAGATGGAAGCAAGCGACCTCCAATACTCGGCTTCTGAGTCTCAAACTTATGATGGGAGAATGGCCGTTTTAAGCAGCCAGAAGAGTCTCTCTAACTCAATCCTGACGGTTTCAGAGGTAGAGGAGATTGATTTTGCTGACCCCACGATACAAAGCAGTAAATCCATGACTCTGCAGAGTTTGCGTTCTGTGTACGAGGATGAGTATCCGCAAGGGCAAGTGAGGAGGCGGCATGTGAGGTTCCAGTTAACGCCGTCAAGTGATGGGATGGAGTCCTCTGTGAGGGAAGAGCTAATGGATCTGATACGGGCGAAAGAGGCGGGCGTTGCATATATAATGGGCCACTCATATGTGAAATCGAGGAAATCCTCGTCCTGGTTGAAGAAGATGACGATTGATATCGGCTATTCTTTCCTGAGGAAGAATTGCAGAGGGCCAGCTGTAGCACTCAACATTCCTCACATCAGCCTCATTGAAGTTGGCATGATATACTATGTTTAAGCCAATAAGAACTCGTATGTGTAGCATTCATAATTCATAGGAGGAATAATGGGAACAATCTGTTCACCGATAGTGTAGCATATGGCATCAGCATGCAGGTTTCAAGTGTCCCCAAAACAAGTGCATGAGAGAAGACAAAGATTGTATATTTGAATATTCTTCTGTAATCTTGGGAACATTATCTTAATTGATTTGTAAGGCTTCAAAAAGAATTTGATCAAATTGTATAATCGAAGCTCGAAGTAGAGGGACTTGCCAGTTTTATTAAGGGATGTAATGTATAAATTTAACTCAACCACGCAAATCCTAAAATGTGTGCTCCTGTAAAGAAAGTATAAACCACCCCGTAAGCATCTCTCTCTTCATTATCCCCTTCTCTTTCTAAACCTCTGGGGTTCTTGTTAAAGATGACATCTTTGCTCCCAAATCCCGACCCGATTACTATACCCCTCGTCTTCAAGCTTTGCTCCTTTCCTCCGCCACGGAGGCTCTTCTCTCTTAGGCTCAGGCGCTTCACCCGAAAGTCATCATCTATTCTTCCGTTTGTCGCTGTTTCCTCTCTCTCCGCTACTGCCGCAAAACCTACCAGATGGAGAGAGAAGCCGGAATTAGCGGAAAGCGACTCAATTTCCCT